TAACTACCGGTTAACCACAATTCTAGCTGTTAGCTGTCTTGCAGGGAAGGTTGTGTAATTTGTGACAGCTAAAATTTGGCACTCCTTTATCTAGATTTGTATTTTGGAAGTAGGAGAAAATGGAGAATGTGATCGCCTTTTGCGAAAACGGTAGTAGAAAGGTACTACAAAAAGTACGCAAAGTATACAATTAGAAGTAAATTCTATGCGAATTTGCAATATATTTGGTGTTATAATGGAAATACTAAACAATACATAAAAATATGCATTTTTGATTTCAGTTATTCGTCATTTGCTGGAAGAAATCTAGAAAACCGACCGTTCAGCTATGCAAAAATGAAAAATGCAGATCAATAGAACTTTTTATGGTCATTTCAACCATGCCAAAATTATTTGGCGCAAGTGAAAAACGAAGACGTTCTAAAAGGTTAAAATTCAGTTTTTAGATTTTTTAAATATTAATATCTTATGAACTATATAACCAAGATAATTGATTTGTCTTTCAGCTGATGCACATAATTTATAGCTTTTTGTATTTTTAAACCAAAACCACTAAAAAACGAACAAATGTTATTTTTTCATGAAATAACCTTTTTTGAAAAAAACTGCATAATTAATGGTAAAGAAATTGGTATTATTTAGAAAGTACAAGTTATTACCTTTAATTCGATATTACATATTTTGTCATTATCTACTTTTGGGTTTCAACAATTTAGTGATAATAAAAAATACAAATTAATAAAGTAAATAAAGAAGATATAAGAGCTTCTTTATTTATTACCTGAGCCGAGTAAATTTGGTTATCGTTCATATCAGCGTAAAAAGTTCTATCAAGCGGTATTTTTGGTTATTTTATAGGTAAACGGTCGCTAATTCTACACTTGTTCTAGAAAGTTACACAAACGAAGGTGATGCTCACGAATATTTAGTATGAAGAATTTTTGGTTTTACTACTAATATCATTAGAAACTGTAGAGTAAGCAACATTCTGCACAAGTAAAGGAGCCGATTTATGCGAGAAGACTGTTTTATTACAAAAACTTAATATTATTGAATCATGGTTCGATCAGCACTTTCGACCACAGTCGAAGATCGAATGCAACTCATAATAGGGGCCTTAGCTCTGACTCGATTTTTAGGATAAATCGTTGACCTTTGAAAATTGAGTCTGAGCTTAAGCTCACTTTTTATGCATAAGGCCGAGTATCATTGGCCCTTGATAATAATTACAACCATGAAAGAATAAACAATCCCGTATATGGAAAGAAATCCCGAGCATTTGACTCGTGAGTAGCGTTAGCGTATCTTACGTTGCTTTTGCTTGAAAAATTTCAATGGTAAATTGTGCGTGACCACCGACTAAATTTTTCTCCCTGCAAAGGCTTCCTATACGAATAACATGAGATCAGAAATAGTATGTGATATACATATGTATATATAATTTTTATATTTATTAACAAATTAAAATGTGACTGATGTATCATAAGTATTACGCCCATGTCGATAACAAACCAACGAAAACGCCATTTCAACATACTAACAATATATGTATATGTATATGTACGGGTACGTATCTGAGAAAAAATTAATATTAAATATGTATTCAACTTATGAATGAAAACTTTAGTGCAAAAATTCTTATTTCTCTTAAAGCTATATTTTTTAATCTTATATTACATATGTACGTATGTTTGCATCTATAATTACGGTCTGTATCACTCCAATTTATACATTTCAATTGTCTCATTAAAAGCGATGCTACTTGTATTTCGACTTTGCCGATATATTAATATTCTACTTGTACATTAACCTAATTTTAAGATTTCTTATATCTGCATATGTACTGAAGAAACAATTTTTAACTTCTAATAAATTTAATAATGAAAATTCTATCTTTGATTTCTCTATAATTTCACTAATTGCACATGTCACACTTCTTGATATCTACTAAGTATTGTACCAAATTGCATGTACCGTTTTTGATGGATTTAAAAACGAACATTCAATTAAGAATATTATGCAAAATTCAAATTGTTCAATTACTAAACTTTTGAAGACGTTATCAATCTTTGGCTCTTCACTACCGTCATTACATCCGGATGGTGGGATGGACAAGCATGGCTTATACACACACATAAATAAATAGTCTAAGAAAATAAGGTTATAACTCTTTTGTGCTCTTCTATGCCCTATTATTTGTTGTTACTTTCGTCACATATGTAAAAGGTGGACCTGTCACACGACTTCTCCATTCACCGTAGGGCCAGACTCTGAATTCCCATTTGTAACTGAATTTGATGCGCTGGCTAAGCACTCCAAAAGTGAGGATCCTTAAAAAGAAAAATAAAGCGAAGTTTGTCACACAATGATTAGGATATCTAATAATAATACAGGCCAACAACAAATAGAAAAAAAATGTTGGTACGGCAAATGTTAAGCTCTTTTGGAAAGATTTTTTTCTTGTGCTGATTACGAATCCGTAAGTATAAAGTTTTCCTCAGCTCCAGATTTTGAGAAATTCTCAAAACATCGCGTTTTGTGCAATAAATTTGAACTTTGACCTCATTTTTCTCAAAATCTGGACCTGACGGAAACTTTATACTTACGGATTCGCAAACAGCACAAAAAATCTATCAAAAACAGTTTAAAAATTGCCGCAACAAAATCAGTGTTGCCCTGTGTAATTAACTCGTACAAATGTACCTGCTTCAACATCATTCGGATTTTTCGAGTTCCTTTGGCGGCATGTATAGGGAGAATTCGTCGGTGAGGGCACCTGATTCTACAAACAAGTAAATATTAAATAACGAATGTCGCACACATATACTACATATACGTGTACATTAATTAGGGTATCGCGTCATTTACCAAGAATAGTTATTTTGCAGTCCGTTAACCATGCCCAAAGATCCCTTTGCCTGGTTTTCAACTACCGACGCTGCCGATTTAATGTTAAAACAATCCATCTATCATGAATTTTTTGTATCGTGCCAGTGTTTGCTTCAAGATTCCCTCAGATTACATATTGTTTTTGTATGTATGTATATAGTACTTAAATAACCATTCAATCAATTCAAACAAATATTAGGGAAAACTTATCAAATGAAAACGAGAGCCCTTTGTAACCGGATATTGGCATGGAGTCGAGTTAATTGGAAAATCCTTATTTTATCTACAATCTTGTTGGAAATCATAATGCGTATCTATTCATTTCATGATAAGCAATGCTTCTGCAAAAATTGAACCTATAGAGTGGCGCTGCAGTCGAAATATTTAGACTACGGATGCCTGCTCTGCTTTGGCCCTAGGTATATTTATGTTATACGAATGTGTTTTTCAAATGGATAAACTAACCTAAATGATGGATGGGGTTAACAGGGAAATTATGGCAACTGTCTTTCATCTCACAGTTTTTCGAGAGACAAAAGTCTTTCGTAAGACAATTGTCAATTCTGGCAACTATATATCGATGGCTGCCAGTTCGAAAACATTCTATCTCAAAAAACTTTTCAAGAACGCCCTATTTCAGAATTCGTTTCAAAAACGCCATATCTCAGCTGCCGATTCAAAAACGCCCTATATCAGCATATTTTCAATACATTTTGAAGTGAGATAGGGCGTTTTTGAACCGAATTTTGAGATGGGGTGTTTTTCAATTAAATTCTGAAATAGGCCCTCCTTGGAAGGTTTTTTGAGATAGAGCGTTTTCGAACTGGCTGCCGAGATAGGTCGATCTTCCACTCAGCCATCGATATCTTGAAAGCACTTTACTGTCTTTCGAAAGCCTAATTGAAAGATCTGCTAACTCATGCCTTCGGCTCTTTCAGAATTTGGGAAACCTGTAACGTCATCAGAGTTTTTCAATTTTAGTTTTTGTAATTCATTTTTAATACTTTCTTTTGCGACTGGTTTGAAAAATTTGTGGTTATAGCGAGCTAAATAGGTGGATATGGAAAATAGATTATTATTTTCCAGGAATGAAAATTTTGAACAAAATTCTGTTTTGAAAGTCGTGGCGGCCAGCCGAATCGGATGAGAATATTGTGATTTTTTTTTTAAATCACCCCGTTTTTAATAAGCAGACAGTTACGTAATTCTTACCTAATTAAAGATCAGGCCTATAGCTTTTTAGTTATTTGAGCATCGATTCTGTTTATAGCCAGACGTTGACGTTTCTGCTGGAAATCCCTATTCTAGGAGCTTAATCTTTGACTTTAAAAAGCGAGAAGGGAGACGTAGGGGGGCGGATTTACCACAGAGGGTTTTAGCCAAGGATCCAATGTACATATTTTGCTATGAAAAATATGGGACATGTAAACAAAATTACTGTTTATAAAATTTTTGCTAAAAATAAATTCCCCAAAGAGCCCCATTTGAAGTGATTGAAACTTTCTTCTTTATGTCTAGTAATTTTTTAAGATTGGTCCAAAAAAATCGTAATAAAGAAAGGAACCAATGCAGGTATTTAAAGAAGAGAGAACAAAAAAATATTTGTTATTAAAAGTATTCACCCTCATTGCGAGAGTCGTGTCGAATGCAAGTCGTTTTTCGAGAGTCGAATCGCATCGAAAATTTCACGTCATTGCCTAATATTTCCACTCGACTAGTGTATTAAAACGGAAAAACTTGGCAGCACTGTATAGTTTTCGACAAATTTCGTCGTTTACTTTTTTCAGCACGACAGTAAACAATGCCAATGTTGTCGAGTCGTACAATTTAGCCTAATTTACGACTTACGCAATGAGGCTGACTATGTTCTCTTTGACGTACGCCTAGCTCGGTTATATAGCTTAAGAAATAATCAGCCTCATTGCGTAAGTCGAAAATTAGGCTAAGTTGAACAACTCAACAACATTGGCATTGTCTACTGTCATGCTGAAATAAATAAACGAAGAAAATCGTCGAAAACTATACAGTGCTACCAAGTTTTTCCGTTTTAATACACTAGTCGAGTGGAAATTTTAGGCAATTACGTGAAATTTTCGATACGATTCGACTCTCGAAAAACGACTTGCATTCCGCACGACTCTCGCAATTAGGGTGAATATGTTTAAAGACATTTTTATCAAAGTAGATAAATATGACATTTGACCAGCTTTGTTACACAAATACTCCCACGACCACAGGCAAAAAATATTGGCTACAATTTGTAATTTTGATTGCCAGATATACGAATGCGAATATTAAAATTAATGCGGAAGCTCCGCGCCTGCCAGCTGGACTTTTATAAAAAAATAATAAACAATAGACAAATAGCCAAAACTGGTCAAAATATCGCACTCCTATTATTTTGTAGACAACTGTATATCTATGTTGAAGGCAGGTTGAAAAAATAAATCAATTTGGTAAATAACGGAACCCTAATATACACTATAAAAACATATTTGCAGGGAGAATTTGTAACCAGTTAGCGACAATTTTCGGATCGCTAACTGGTTACAGAATCTTTCTGGTGTCGGCAATGTAATTGATAACTCCATTTAAATTTTTCGAAAATTAATTAAATATTTAAAACTGGTTTTCGAATGTTATTGGATGTTATAACATATAATAATTTCTGATTTCTAAGCCCGCATTTATTTTTAACAATTTAATTTTGTCAACAAACATGAATATTAAAAATGGTGATATCATTTATATACCAGACACCACAACAGGTAAAGTGTTCACGAAAATAGCCGCGCGACGCATTTATTTCCCTTTATTATCAATATACATATTATTACAATTTCTATAAAATATAGTTAATTCTGCAACAAAAACCATACAAATCAAAGTATCAAAATTTCTACAAAATCGCCAACGCCAAACTACAAAATGTCGACAATGTATACTTTTCCAAAACGCACCCGAAAAGTTATCGAAACGCATGCTAGAGTAATCAGCGCATCAGAAACAAAGTTGATGGTTCGTTTTGATTTTTTGGTGAGTTTTAAAAATGGAAAATTCCGAAAGATGATCATTGTTATATTAAATATTCAAAATATGCAATGTATATGGTTAGTGTTTCGTAACTCTGAATATACAAATAGTTTAAATACCGCAGCAGAACAGTGTATACAAACATTGTATTGGTACGTTTTGTAAGTCAGCCATATTCAACAAACTTCTATACAAATTTACAATATTTTATCAGAGTTTTTAGAAAACTTTCGGGCATGTAGTTTTATGATCATTAAATTTCAGTATAATACTGCGCATTTTCTTCTATATAAAACATAAAAAAATATAATTTTATATGGGAGAAAATATCTAGCATCGGCAGCAAAATTATTAACAATCAACGCGAATTACATTTACATTTGGACCCAAATGCGTGGTTCGAAATCAGTCATTTGAAGGAGTTTACACTGCTTGATTCGCATTTGCTTTGACTTCTTATCAATAGAAAGGAAAAACAAAAACAAAATCGAGCAGCAATATTTTTTTATCACGTCGTTTTGGATATATTAATTTGTATGCGGATTTGGCTTCGCATTTCAGATCATCGTACAGTAACTATAAGTAACGTAACTCTTCGTTTTAGCGTTTTTTCTGGCAGGCTGTAGGTGTGGTTTTGGTTAGTGTGTTAGTGTATTTTGAATAAATTGTAATAGAAA